GGCTGCAATAATCGTGCTTACAAATATGACTTCTTCAGGCGTCTGCTGCCTGGGTTGGCCTTCCTGGATCTACAGACATTTGAAATGTGCTGTCAGTAGAATGTGACAACCAGCCAGACTGAAATGTCGAGGAATGAAAAGTTGAGGAAATAATAGATTCAGGAAAATCGAACAGAACAATTACATTTTTCCCATCAATCAATGAGGTGCCGTCTCCACAATGAAGGTTGGCTGCAATGGACCTCCAACAAGCCCTGTCTCTTGCCCGTGATGTACACTCACTCATACTGCTGTTCGTCCATCTCTTGATGTTATCCTCCCACTTGTAACGCTGTCTGCCTTTTGCTCGCCTACCTTGAACCATTCCCTCTAGGATGATCTTTACAATACTTTTATGTCTTTTAATGTGGCCAAAATATTTCACTTGTCTCTTTTTTATTTCAACTAGCAACTCTCTTTTCATTCCCAATTTCCTCAGTACCTCTGTATTTGATAGCTTTTGTTTCCATGAAATTTTTTAGTAATACATTAATAAGGACTATTATATCTTGGCCACAAGGGACAAAGAAAATAATGTACTAGAGGACAATATATTAAGAAAAACAGGAGTGCTGGGAAATGAACAGGCAGACAGATTGGCTGGTTCTGCACCAAAGGATGGTAAATTTATGCTAGACAAGCCAGATGTGGTCAAGTTCCTTTAGAAAGCAAGTCGACGGTGAAGAGGCATGCAATGGCCTGAAGAGGGTGGTGCAGCTGAAAGTGACCAGGGAATCTGGTCGTCGCTCTACACTCAGGGGAAAGGTCGTCGCTCTACACTCAGGGGAAAGGCAAGACGGACATTTAATCAAACTGCTACAGGCACTATCAGAACTGGAATTCTTTATTAGCTGCTGAAGATGAGGATTGAGCACTTATGGGAATGTCTTTAGTGCTACGATGCCCATTTTTTTTTTTTTAAGCTCAGCACTCGAAGCTACTAAGAAAAGTGACAAAGAAATTCAATGTAGACCTACAAGGAATCAAAGAGAATGGCACAAGACAGCAACATTTGGAATTAGAGAATGGCACAAGACAGCAACATTTGGAATTAGAGAATGGCACAAGACAGCAACATTTGGAATTAGAGAATGGCACAAGACAGCAACATTTGGAATTAGAGAATGGCACAAGACAGCAACATTTGGAATTAGAGAATGGCACAAGACAGCAACATTTGGAATTAGAGAATGGCACAAGACAGCAACATTTGGAATTAGAGAATGGCACAAGACAGCAACATTTGGAATTAGAGAATGGCACAAGACAGCAACATTTGGAATTCTTTCCTTATGATACCCAACAGTTTTAAACCGTGATGATGCAGAAAGATAACTGCTCTATTAGTACCAACTTTGTGCTATCAATGCCAGACATGGACAATCCTAAAAATCCCATCATGTGAGACGAGATGTATAAAAAATGCAGTGAGAAAAACAAGAGACAGTCACCAATGAAGAACTAAGAACAATAGTATGCACCTTCACAGTAAATCTTCTACTTCTTCTGCATTTTTCCTAAGATGTAAATGTGTTGTGCCTGTTTACAAAATAGTTGTGATATTTGTGCCTTTTGGTCCACACATTCAACTTCTGCCAGCATTTTTGTGCCTGGGTAAGCCTTCCCGAGCTGGTAAATAAAAACAGTTTGGTCATCAGATCAGAATTAAATAAAATCAGCCAGCAGCTAGAGAGTACTACATGAAAACAGCAAGCTACAAGGCAAGAGGCCGACCAAGAAAGAGATGGGTGGAGGGGGTACAAGTGACACTACAGAAATGCAATATGTGATCAACACAAGCTACACAACTAACCAAAAAACAGGAAACTATACCTAACTCTTCTCTTCTATGCTTTACGGAGTAAGCAGTAGGACAAACGAAACAGAAAAAAAAAAGAAGACGCCTGGAATGGAAAAAAATTTTAATAACTTACAGTCGCTCAATTCATGTAAGAAGTAGCAATTAACAGACATCATGCGCGTGTCACCAGATTGGCCCTGTGTATTGTTTTGTACTTTAAAAAATAGGACATGCGCATCTCTCTACCAGAAAGTGTACAACTAACTTTATGCTTACAGATAAAAGCAGGCTCAAGTGGGGTCCTTGGCCGAATTCAAGTAAACACACATGGCAAAAACAAAGCCATTGAATTTAGTGACTGCATAAAATATGTTTTAACAAAGAGGATTTCCAACATGTATAATACCAGTTTGGTGCGGTGAAGGGTGTAGTCAGAAAGAACTGCTTGATGTTCACCAGAGTGGATGATTCAGAAAAAGGACATTCTCATGGTTTTCAGGCAGTATCAGAGGTGCACCGTGGAAGAGACTAGGAGCTCATCTTAAACATTTTCAGTTAACAGTGTATAGACTGCAGCCAACCTCCATTCTAGTACAATTCCTTTTAAAATTTCAGTGTCATTTCAACTGTCATTTACAAATTTTCCCACTGGAAAATTTGAGACAATGTCTGTAGCAGAGCAAGATGTGGTGGAGTTGAGTTGATTCAATAACCAACATCATAGCACTCAGGGCATTTTTGCAAGTGCTCAGTCCCCATCTTTGGCAGCCAGCGCAGAGTTCAGAATTCCAACACCAATGGTGCCAGTAGCAGTCTGATTATATGTCCATCTTGCTTTTCCTCGAAGCGTTGAGCATTGGTCAGATCAGATCATCACTCCTTGCTGCATCAGTTTACCAGACTGATGATCAATTTGCTCCTCCAAATTGTACACATGCTCCCATAAGGCCTTAACCAAGTCTGCATTATGCATCAGTTTTCCACCAAGTTGTGAAGAGCCAGCTAGTCTGTCCGCCTGTATATTTTCCAACACACCGGCATATCCCAGAGACAGGATCCAGGCAATGCTTTTCACCCATGGCCTCTGAAGTGAAGCCTGCGTGTCCTCACCTTCCTCAGCATGTTTTCTAGGTTGTGGAGTAAAAGACTAATTTCACAGCCTGAGCAAATAATATTCAGGACAAGAACACATTAGTTCCGTCTCTCTCCTCAACAGACAACAAAATTTCCATAATGGTGGTACTTATCAACTACTTATCTTTTCTTCCCTCTGAGTTGTTGGTGGTGCCCAGAGCCCACAGTCACTCCTAGCTGCACCATTCTCTCCAGGTATGGATTTTTAATATCTTTCATTTCACCTGTTACAATGTCTCACAGGTCTGGGATCATCTCTGCTTTGTGCATTTGCAGTAGACCCCCAAATGGGGCCAATCCAGCCAGTCTATCTACCTGATAATTCTCAAACACACTTGAAAGCTGGGGCAAAATATCCATGTGACTGTCACCAGCTGCCCCTTCTGGATTGATCTAATCCATTCCATTTGAAGGAAAAATGACTCCATATTGCGGAGCTTCATATTTTTTATACATCAAACGGCACATGATGTTGTCAGTGGCCTTTACTTTCCTAGATATTTCTTGGTAATTTTATTTAGGCTGGGTCGAGCCGGGAATCTAGGTCAATTATTATAGCCTGTATCTATGAGGATTAGAAGTGATCACTATAAGGCCAGAAGGCAAACATGCTAGACACTGTGCCACCTTAAGTTAACGAATACTAACCTAGTTACTTCTGGGAGGAAGTTGGCAAATAGTCTGCCTAGTTCTAAGAAACTGATACAAGGCAGAAAAATGGCAGAAGAAGCAGGATGAGGAGGAGAAGAAAGAGGAAGAAGAAGAGGAGGAAAAGTAGGAGAAGAAGAAGAAGTAGAAGAAAAAAGAAGAATAAGTAGCAGAAATAGAAGAAGAAAAAAGAAGAGGAGGTAAAAGAAGAAGAAAAAGAAGATAAAGTATAAGAAAAACTAAAGACAATAACCTTAGATTTATCTCTCGAGATAAGGGAGAGGTTTAAAGTCCGGGCTGGTCTGAAGTGGACACTTGATACTGACAGATGCAGCACCAAACACTTAACAAGGTCCACTTCACGAACAAAGAAAATATATTCTACAGTCAGCAAAATTTACTGGTCGTAAGTTACTGGGTAAGTAGGCTTCAGCAACAGAAGACAAGAGGAGAGTAGAAAGGGGGTGGAGATAGAGAGAGTGGGTGAAGTCACACACACACAAAAAAAAAGGATGGAAGGGTGCCTAAAAAAGAGGGGGACAGACAGGAATAGAGGGAATGAGAGAGACAGAGAAAGGTAGGGAAGGACAAGGCAAGGTAGAGGTAGGGACAAATAACGGGAGAGAAAGGAAATAAAAGAAGAGCAGATGTAGCTCAAACCTAAAGTGACAGCGAGAACAAATAAACAATAATTTTTACCACAGAACAAAAATAAAAAAATCCTTTATACTCAAAAAAAAAAAAATCATTTATACCACAGAATAAATAGGAAACAATTATTTATACTATAGAACAAATAAAAATAATAATTTATCCCAAAGAGTAAGAAAGAAACAATCATTTATACCATAGAACAGTGTTTCCCAAACATTTCTAAGTCGCAGCACTTTATTTCAATTAAAACTTTTCTACAGCGCCCTAACCTAAGTAACAGTCTGACTATTTGTATGTCAAAGATTAAAAAAATTAAAACTTGTGTATAAAAAAAGTAATAAAACTTGTGTATCTTCAAATATTTCGAGGCGCCCCTGTGAATAGGTCGCGGCTCCCTAGGGTGCCGTGGTGCAAAGTTTGGAAATCACTGCCATATAACAAAATTATCACATATACTATATAAAAAAATATGAAACAATAATTTATACCACATCAAATATATGAAAAAAAAATCGTTTACACTACAGAACTAACAAAAACAATCTTTTGCTCCACATAACAAATAACAAACAATCCCTTGTGTTGTGATATAATTTATAAATAAACTATTATTTTCCCAGCATGACATCAAAACATCACACTTCCACATGTGATCATACTACCCACTCCACATCCATCACAAATAATTAAAAGTTACAACTCAAACATCAATAAAGACACATTACTATTCTATTTTCTGCCCGCCTGACTGTGCAAGATGTTTCATGATATCAACCCAGTTCCAGCCTCGAGGCCGGTCAGTGGTGGCACCAAACCGATCAAATATCTTCCTCTTCTGAGATTTTGTCAGCTGCTCCTTTCTCTCCTTCTTCTCCAGGGGATCTTCCACAGCCTCCTCCTTCACTGGGACACACGTCTTTGGAAAGTGAAAAATTATGGATTAAGTCACAGAAATGTCAATTGCTAGATAATCTTGGTACCTTTTTTTTTCTTGGACGAATAAATGATCCAGGAGAGAACACTAAGTCTGCAACATTTAAAGATTACAAGAACTTCAGGTTAAATGTTAAATTAAGAATCAACATCACAGCACTCTGGATACTCCCATAAGTGCTCAGTCCCCATCTTCAGCAGCAAGCAAAGAGTTCCAATTCTGATGGTACCAGTAACCGTCTGATTGTATATCCGTCTCATCATTCCCCTGAGTGTTGAGCGTCAGCCAGATCTCCTGCTAACTCCTCGCAGCGCCATTCTCCTTAGACCGTAATGATCTATCTGCGCCTCCGCACTGTTCACTCGTTTGACGCCCCTCCTCCTTCCAGTTAAGCTATCCACATATGTCTTCCTCTATTTCTCTTGTACAGTATGTTTCAATAATTGTGTTAGGCACTAACTGGCAGGACAAGATCACAAACACTGAGTTACTGGAAAGAGCAGTATCACAACAGTTTTCTTAATGCTCAGTCTACGAAGGCTCAGGTGACTGGATCACACCTAAAGAATGGAAGAGCCCCTGAGGTCATCCTCTATGATAAATTACAAATGAGTAGAAGATGTCAAGGCTACAATATAAAGACATGTGCAAGCAGGGCACGAATGACACAGTTAATGAGGTAGATTTGTGGGAACAAAATGTCACAGACTGTTGCATGGAGAAGGCAAATCAGGAAGGAAATAAGAATTAAGGACAAATATATTGCTAAAGGTTGAGAGCTGAGCATCTTAGAAGAAGCAAGCTAAATACATGTAATGGCAACAACGGTCCTAAAACCCAATGCTCGAGCTGGGGAAGACTTTTCTTAACATGGGCAGGTCTTGCTAGTCACACTGGCTATCACCATGGGCTGTGAGTCGCATGCCCCCTCATAGCGCAGTTTAACACTGTCGCCTGGAAAGGCGGAAAGGTACCAACTAAGGCTAACTGATCTGTTCCACATGTGTAGATGTTACATAATCACTTTAACAAGAGAATAAGACACATTAATGGTGAATATATCAATAGATAAAATGAAATCTATCAATAGATACCTCAATACACCAGTGTTTTGGTACTTTATTTTTAATTCACCCCAAACAAAGGAAAACCTGAGTTCCTAAGAAAGTCCAATATTCTAGGGGTGTTATTGGTTGGGGTTAGGGTTAGAGTTAGTCAATGTCTCTGAGGTTGTCTGGGCTGACAAAGATCCTAACCCTAACTCACAACATTCCTAGAATGTAGGACTCATTTTTCTACTACTTCTAGTTTCTTCACTATTTCATTACGAACTATCCAGTGTTTGCAACATATATAACCATTGTCATCAAGTACCTTGTCAACTGGCACTGGCAATTATGGCTTCACACAACCTGCCCTCAACAGCTTGCATCAGTGCATATGCTGAGATCCTTGGCTTCCATGACATGATAAAAGGCTGTCAAGAATCTCTCAATGTGTCAAAAAAATCGTCTTCCCCATGTGGGATGCAACTGTTAGTTATTTTGAAGCCCAACCCTGGTTTTTGCCAGGTGCCCTAAATAGAGCCGGGCCTTAAATATGGCCTAACGGCTGAAAGGGGATTCCGGGACCTCTCCACGGGTGATCCTCATCCGCAAGGTGGCATTTTATGTCACCGGGTGTTTATCACTTGTGTAATGTCCTGGTGGGGTACAACCTACACACCTACCTTTCATGTTGTCTTCCTCTATGTGATTCTGTGTATTTTTGTTTTTTATGTGTCTATTCATGTCATGTTATGTGATGAGAAGGAATGAATGAACGAACGAACAAACTTTATTTTCAAAGGGTCACAAATTGGGCACGCAGGCCCGTCTTACATTCGGCCCTTCCAAACACCCGTCTTTCACACTGCATCTGTATTTTATCAATAAGCATGTTATATTCATATGATAATATGCATATTTTGAATATCAAAAAAGAGGGGGGGAAAAAGAGAGTACACCATGACAGTAGGAAAATTGGAGGGGAGGACAGGCAGAGATAGGCTGAGAGAAAAGATGCTGAACAGTTTGACATCATGGTATGGAAGATCATCTGTGTCAGAGTTGATTATACTTCTTCATTGCGTTCACCAGCTGTAAACTCTGGAGGAAAGTTCTGGTTGTTCGTCCACTTCTGGACTGCAGTCCTGTTCTAGAACCTGAGTGTTGCATGTGATTCCGTTTGAAGATATGACACATTTGTATGCAGACTGTTGGTTCCTTGTCTCTCAGGCAGATGCACTCCGACTTCGAAGGAAACTCCCAACTGGTCGACTCTTACGACATGCTTTTGGCTAGGCAGTGGGTCTATTCTTGTTTTCCTTGTTCCTTGTTTTTTTAATAGGATAGGGCATGGAACCCACATGGAAAGGGGCGGGGGGTTGTAAGAGTTGATCAAAAGTACACAAGACAGAAGGTTGTGGATTCACATGACTACCAACGCCAAACGACACAGACTTTAAGAAATAGGAGAAGAAGAGATTTATGCCGTATGCTGATAAAGGATTTCTAACCAGAACATCCACTTGTTGTTCGTGATTGTGTTAAATTGAAGATGACTGGTTCTGTTTCTTACCTGGTTTCATATCTTTTCTTGACAACAATAAATTCCAACATATGTTTGCAATATGGCTAAACACTTGCCTGCAGATCGGCAGGTCATGGGTTCATTGCCAAATGGAGTCGGACTTTTAAAAAAGACCTTGGCTCCCTGGCTGACCCAGCCTTGAGTTGGTATCAGGTACAGTCCTGGGAAGTAAAGGTGGCCGGCGTGATGCTGACCATATCACCCAGCAAGTGCCGATTGGTCTATAAAATATAGGTCTAGCCCTTGATGCCTAATAATATGCTTAAGGCATGGAAAAGGTTCTTTACTTTACTTATATTTGCAATTTGCCTGTTACACAAAAAATGCCATCACATGTGGTGAGATAAACAAAAATCCAATATCTTATTCTACTTCGTGATCACTGAATGTAAACTCCAGCTGAAAGTTCTAGTTATTCGTCTATTCTGGACTTTAGCCTTGTTCCTGTACTTGAGTTTTGCATTCACGAATGGTTTACAGATGTATGCAGTCTGTTGGTTCCTCGCTTCTCAGGCAGATATGCTCTAAGTCAGAAGAAAGTTAATTTACTTTTACAACTGTGTCTTCTTCTTCTATTTTTTGTACTCCTGGAATGCATGCGGCGTCAGGACAGGACAAGATCTCTGGAACGGGCCCTTCTGTTCGCTTCCTGTACAGTACTTTTCATGCTTATTAAGGGATGGGGGGAGGGGGCTGTGAATCTGTCCACCCCTGCGCCCCATGCAAAATGGGGTCCCGGAACAGACACAGGGATAAATCAAACATCTAACGGTAGTGTCATATTCATGTTAAATATACTCACAGATGGCAGCACCAGTGTCTCTGGTTGATCAGAGAGAAAGCTGTCCAGATTGTCTTTGACCCATTCAAATAATGAGAAGGTCATGGACATGCCGAGAAGGTCGCCAGCCTGTTGGTAAAGTCAAGAGAATATAAACAGAAGTGAACTTGACCCAAAAAAATATATAACTCTACTCTTCAAACATTACAAAATATAAAATGAGAAAGGCAAAAATTACTAAACAAACAATTGGCAAAGCAAGAAACTAAAACAAGTAACAAAGAGTATTGACATAATCAAGTAAACAATGGGCAGTAATTCAGAAAAATCGGACAAAATCTTTTTCTTCTTAGTAGTCACCAGCTGTAAACTTAAAAATGGGTGAGGGGAAGAGGGGGGGGGGGGGGGGGGGTTGGTGTTACTCATCCACTTCTGGACTTGTCTTAATCCAGAACTTGAGTTGTGTGTGCAAATCCAGTTTACAAATCTGGCTTTCTTGTATAAAACATAACAAAATATAACCCTTGACCCATTAGGCTCATGGAGGTGTATTGATGGAAGCACTAGCTCATAAAACCCACCATCTTTCTGTCTTCTGCTTAATGAATAAGTGTATGATAACTTAGTCCTGTTCCATATCTTGATGTTATCATTCCAGGTTCTTCTTTGCCATCCTCTTCTTCTACTACCCCCAAATGTTTCTTGAAGTACAGTCTTTGCAATCAAATCATGTCTCACCATGTGCCCAAACCAAGCTAGCTTGCGACGTTTCACCACTGCCAAAAGAGGCCCCTGATGTCTTTGGCACATTTACTTGTCTGAAGTCTACTGGTTTGTCACCTCTTGGGCAGATGCACTGTGACTTCGAAGGAAGCATCTCTAATTAGTCCCGTCATAAAACATTCTGGTTCACGGATCTATTTCCTCCCCCCCCCCCCCCTCAAATTGGGCCCATTAACCCAAATGGACACAGATTTTTAAAAAAAAAATGATTTAAGAACAGGACAAAATGTGAATGATTTGAACTTAATATACCTGTTGCAGTAGTGCAGACTTAATAGCTTCTTTCACTTGAGGTAACCTGAAAAAAAAAAAATTTATAAACAAAGAGTGCATCTAGAAGGGCAGAATTTAAAAAAAAAGTCGGCCAAGTAGAAAAATGCATTACAAATGTTTTTCAAAACAAAGAAGAAAAGCAAAGAAAAAAGAACAGAGTTCAAACAGTGCAAGAAAAATAGAAAAAGAGATCAAAATGAATAAGAAACTGCATTGGATAGAAAAAACAAATAAAGGATCAAAGAAACAAACTTTAATTTCAAAGGGACAAACATTAGGATCATACAGGGCACCACAGAAAGCAATGTTACAGATCCAACGGTAACAGAGCCAGAGGTCGACCATGCAGAATATGGACTGCAGAAATATTAGAAACAATGAAAAGTACTATAGATGAAGCAAACAGAAGGGCCTGTTCCAGAGATCTCTCTCTCCCCTGACGCTGCTAGGAGAAGAGAAAAGAAGAAGAAGAAATATCAGGAAGACAGGCTGACCACATCCCCCACTGAGTGCCGATTCATCAGTAAAATATAGTTCTAGCCCTATATGCTAAATATACTTTACTTTGTACTATTCTGGGTGTTAGAAGACAGATAGAGAAGATAATCTGTTATAGAAATAGATGGAAAATGCCCTGGTTTAGGTTCCAGATACCCCAATTTTTTTATTATTTTTTTTGGGGGGGGGGGGGGGGGGGGGGGGGAGGAACAGACCTACAGCCCATCACTCATCCGTTACTTTTGATGAAAGCCTGAGTCACTCATCCGTTATCTTATAATAAAATACTGGGTCTTTCATCCGTCACATTACAATGACATTTCTGAGTCACTCATCAGGTTTTCTGAAAACAAAATCTCAATTTTTAAAGGTTAATCTCAGTTTCTAAATGAGGTTTTCTGGAGATCTTTATACCGTTTTTTGGGGGGCCTTCAATAATTCAAAAATTGCTCTTGCTGTCGATTAATACTGCAATGGTAACTTGTCCAAATCAGGCCATCAAGAAAAAGAGAACATACACACTGCCCCCATAACAAGCAAATCGCAAACTAATTAGGAGTGTTTCCTTCCGCTAGAGTGCATCTGCCTGGGAGGCAAAGAACCAACAGCCTGCATACAAATAAGCCAGACAATAAAAATGGATGTGATTTCAAAACTCAAGTTCTGAACAAAGACCAAAGTCCCGAGGTTGGCGTACATCTAGAAATTTCTGCCAGAGTTTACATCTGGCGAACGTGAAGAAGAAAAAGAAGACAAGCATGCAGTAAAGTGACTAATTAGGGATTTGCCAAAACCGGCTGTGTTGGGCCAAATGGAGCAGATATCACAGCCCAGCTGTAAACCGCAACATAAAATGCCAACAATCCTTTTAAAGGCCAACGCAGAAGAAGTTACGCATATTTTAAAATATCAAATTCTCACACGTGTTTGTTGTAAAAAAGTTCCATGTTAATGACGGGCAGTTCCTCTGGATAACTGCTTGGCCATGAAATCTCAACAATGAAGGACTTCTGGCTGCCATCTTCTCCATACTGTACGACAGAAAAACACAATCATGTCTCAACAACATACAGGCTGAGAATATTACATCTTCTTTCATTTGCTCAAAATAAATTATCTGTATCTGCAATGTTTCTCTAGTATGAACTTCACTGTCTTGTGTAATTCACTCAGCAACTCGTAAAGTTTGGCTTCTATCTGTGTTTCTCTTGGTCAGAAGTTTTGCCTTGATATATTGTATTTGGGACAGTCATAAAGGATGTGATCTGTTGTTTCAGGTGCCAATCCACATGTTATTATAGGTTATTATAAGGGGGTGATCAAAATTTGAAAAACAAAATGGGTGAAAACTCGACACAAATATTAACTTTTAATGAAAGACTGTGCCACTTATCCATTACCATGTAACAAATAATGTGTGTCACTCAATCATTACCTTTTAGTGAAAGATTGTATGCCTCATCCATTACCCTACAATGAAAAACTTTTACTCATCCATTACTTTATAATTAAAGACTGTGTCACTCATCTGTTACCTTATAATTAAAGACTGTGTCACTCCCCCATTACCTTATAATAAAAGACTGTGTCACTCATCTGTTACCTTAAAATAAAAGACTGTGTCACTCATCCATTACCTTATAATGAAAGACTGTGTCACTCATTCATTACCTTATACTGAAAGACTGTGTCACTCACCTGTTACCTTATAATGAAAGACTGTGTCACTCATCCGTTACCTTATAATGAAAGACTGTGTCACTCATCCGTTACCTTATAATGAAAGACTGTGTCACTCATCTGTTACCTTATAATGAAAGACTGTGTCACTCATCTGTTACCTTTTAATGAAAGACTGTGTCAATCATCCGTTACCTTATAATCAAAGACTGTGTCACTCATCCTTTACCTTTTAATGAAAGACTGTCACTCATCGATTACCTTATAATGAAAGACTGTGTCACTCATCCGTTACCTTATAATGAAAGACTGTGTCACTCATCTGTTACCTTTTAATGAAAGACTGTGTCACTCATCCATTACCTTATAATGAAAGACTGTGTCACTCATCTGTTACCTTATAATGAAAGACTGTGTCACTCATCCGTTACCTTATAATGAAAGACTGTGTCACTCATCCTTTACCTTATAATGAAAGACTGTCACTTATCCATTACCTTATAATGAAAGACCGAGTCACTCATCTGTTTAAATGCTTCATCACCATCATAGATTGACTTCAGCACCTCCAGTTCTTCCTGTAAGAATGACAGTAAAACCAGAACACTGATTATCAAAACTAGCTTGAACCAAAATACAATAAATTAGTCGAAGTTGAAAGGTCAGCTTTACAAGAAGAAAAAAAATACCAGTGATTTATTAAGACGGTGTAGCTAGAAAGCTAATAGAAAAATGAAATGCCTTAGAAGAGCTGCAGGAGTTTCAAGGAAATAGAATATGAAATCAGACAAATGATAGAAATAAAGCCAGTCTTACATGTCATCAAAGAACAACAAATGAAGTGGTTTGGACACCTAACAAGAATGCCCTGGTACTATCTGCCACAGCGAGCCACACTAAAACGTTACAACGGGTATAGAGCGAGTGGAAGACCTAGGAAAATATGGAGTAATGGCATTAAGAACAGCCTAACAGAAATGAACATCAGTCTTAATAGTGCTCTTGACAGAGCTCATCAACGAACAATACATCTCCCCCCGACACTTCGATGAGGTAAAAAGTGGAAGAGAAGAAGAAGATGAGGAAGCTAGAAAGCATTCATCAGAATGGATAAATAAAAGACTAAAGATAATACAATAAAACCTTCTTAAAATGAACTCACACAAGAAGAACACACAGACAACATGAACAACATTCTGCTGCCAGCAGGGATGTATTATTATTAGTCCCCCATCAGCATAAATTGCTTTAATACGAACTCAATTTTCAGTCTGCTGGAATTTGTGTAAAAAAATTTTTACTGTAACAACATTACAAAACTTTTTTTTTTTTTTTAGTGATAGAGCTTATGTAAAAAACATTAATACTTCAAAAAATAAAACATGCACACACACAAACATTAAAACACTCCACTGTTTAGCAAAAAGGTTTCATCATCATGAAGCTAGTTACAATGCAATTTTTAATTTAACCTGAGACTCAGTAGATCCAAATTCAATCATAAATGTTTTGTGGGTTTACTTTCTCTTGTCTTTTATTGTCTCATCTGCCTGCCAGCAGTTTGTCTCTTTCTTGGCTGGCTCATATCACTTGACATGCTAGATGACCTAACCATAGCTAGAGTACCATCAGAACTGCTCTTGGGGTTATTCATTACTGGAACATTCATGACCCTCCACCACGTGTATATAGGTGGATTTAACGTCACAAGTTTGACTTCATTGCATGGGGTTCGATTTCATATGGCTCTGTCTTGCTGACTCTTCACAAACAGCTACTCGAGAGTGTCACCCACAGCTAAAAAACATCGTGGCTCCAGCTATGATCTCAATACTGATAGTGAGACTGATCATACTCCATGAGCCGATGAGTCGAAGTGAATGCACTACTTTCATTTTAACTCACCCTAAACATGGGTAATCCCTGGGAAAGTACAATATTCTAGGGATGTTATGACATGCCTTTTCAGTGTTCATGCAATGTGCAAAAAGGTGAGTGCACCACGTGGACAAACCAAACCGTGGCAAAATAATGGGACAAACTGTGCAACTTTCTTTGCGTGAATGAACATTTTGGTCTGAAAAGGGCTATGGGGAGGAAGGGGGGGTCTGAAAAAGGTGGTCAGTCTCCATTTATGTATACTGCTGGTTTACCCATGAGTTGACAATCGTACATTTTGCACCAGTTAGTAGATCTGGGAAATGTTAAATATACCAACTGACTAAACTGCTGATCATTCGACATGATATTGTTGTGGTGGTTAGAATAGAACAATGTCGGCAAGAATGGTTGCCAACATGTCGAGGCCAGTATATTTAATGCACCCATGCCTCATAAACTTGCACATGCAGAATTCTAGGATATGCCTGTGTGTCTCATTCTGCCTCTTGTTTGCCGGTCTTCCCTGTGCACTGATGCATCAAGTATGTGCATCTGTGGTGGGATCGACAAAGTTAAGGGAGTGGTTTACTGCATCAATCCAGAAATATTTTCAATTCTGTTTATGCACATCAGAGGTAGGAAACTACTGTTGTGCCAGGCCCAGAGTGTGTGTGCTTAAAGTGACAGAAGGGTCTCTGCTATCTTGTCTGGAATGTAGAACACAAAATACTCGCCTGTCTCAAGAAAGATACCATCTATAAATACAAACTGTATCCAAAAACAAATCCTACCTGATATCTGCATCATGTAAAAAATGTTAAGTAAAGGACCCCTTTTCCCGCTTTTAGGCGTATAGGGCATATAGGGCTAGACCTATATTTTATAGACCAATCGGCACAAGAGGGGTGATGTAGTCAGCATCACGCTTAGCCAGCTTTACTTCCTGGGACTGCACACGGTACCCACTCAAGCCAGGGTCGACCTAGGAGCCGAGGTCTTTTTTTTTTTAAAAGTCTGGCTCCACCAGGGAGCGAACCCATGACCTTCCTATCTGCGGCAAGCGTCTAGCCGCTCCGGCACGGCGACTCCCTTTGCACCTTGTGCTGCTGCAGAAAAGCAATGCTAGGCTCTCCTAGCACATTTGTACGCAAGTGGGATGGCTTCGGTTGGCTTAGTGGGAGTTCTCTCCCTTTGCCGCATTGAAAACAACGAGCGGACAATAACAGTCCAATGTAAACAAAGCCAAAACGAAAGTTGCGCAGTTTGGTTGCGCAGAGAAGACCTCTTGTTTCTGGGAGGCAAGTTTTAGCAGCTGCTTTCTACATCTCATCTCCACAAAAACCTACATATCTCAGCTCAGAAATGACATACAAGCCTAAATGAGGTACCGTTGGAAAGAGATTGTTTACAGCTATCTAACTGTGCTGGTTTTATTGGTGTAGAGGGCATTTTGAAAATTTGACTAAAGTACCTACTGGATGATGGACCAAAGTCAAAGTCAGTGAAATTAAATTTGCATATTTTTTGTAGAACAGAACTTACTTGTTGGGCTTCACTGGTCGACATTTGTGTGAGTTCTAATTATATACAGCTTATCCAAACGATGATAAAAACTAAACAATAGTCTGCTGGTGTGGTGTCTATATTTGTTGTGAGGTTTTTATCTTCTTCTTCTTCTTCTTCTTCTTCTTCTTCTTCTTCTTCTTCTTCTTCTTCTTCTTCTTCTTCTTCTTCTAGGCGTTCACGGGGCTCTTGGCAGAAAGCTCTGGTTTTTTTTTTTTTGGGGGGTCCACCTCTGGGCTTTAATTTTGTTCCAGAACCTAACTGTTGCGTACTCATCGGGTTTAACGATTTGGCTTATTTGTAGGCAGACTATCAGTTTCTTTGCCTCTCAGATAGATGCACTAAAGATAGCTTGTTGGGGAGGCAGTGGGTTACCCCCTCCCTCCCCCCCCCCCCGACCACAGTAAGGCTCCCGAAACTTATAAGGGAAATTTATGAGTGTACTAGCTGTACCCGGCCACGCGTTTGCTGTGGCATAGTTTGGCTGAATGAAAATGAAAGAAAATAGAAATCGCACGTGTCTAATACAATCATATGTCTGCTCAGATATAGAGATAGTCTTTGATCCCCACCCCACCCCCACCCCCCCCCCCACAACTAAATCCACCTACATACCCTCTCCCATCATCAAAGGTTTTTTGGAAAAGAAAGACAATGGAAAATCGCACTGGGGGTGTCTAATATAGTTAATGTCGCAATCATTCTCTGCACACATTTATATATAGTCTGGTTTTCCACTTTAGAACACGCACCATATAATTGTGTCTTTATATTAGTGGTCGTTTAAATGGTGCTATTAGCACAGTAACAAAAAGTGGTCATTGGTTATCACATGCTAAAGCTGTTTGTATTTTATAGGAGACGTAAGTAAAGCTACAACTGTACTTGTAAATAACAAAGTAAGTCGTAAAACATAAAAAAGCGGAGGTAGCATTAGTAAAAATATGAAAAAAAAATAGGCAATGAGAACTTGAAAATCACGTGTAAAAGCTTTTAAGTTTTCTTAAATTTAAGTCATTACCCCTCCCCTCAGCCCTCTCCCACCGACTACTGCTCTCTCCCTCTTCGAATATATGTGAAAAAATCATACCTGGCGATATTTTGTTGTTGCTGTAACGGACATTGACATCCCTGTCCATCCGAACTAAAATGGGGAGCAGGAATTGTAATAGGTAAGTGAATGGGGCTAGTGTAATATTACCATATCATGCTTCAAGTACCAGTACAACTATCTACCACGCACCACCACCCACAGTAGCTAAAATAATGTCACTGCTATCTGTGTTACCATCAGAGTAGACAGAGAGTCGTCGAGCCAGAAGATTTGGTTCCGCATTGCTAGTGCTGTCGCCACAGATGGTCAGGTTAGGATGTATAATTTCGCTTCCCGACAGAAGAACGCCATAACCCTTACCGGCGGTCTTCACATGAGAGCACTATGGTGTAACAGCCCAAACACAACTACTACTGCTGCTGCTACTTAAGTGGGTTAAAGCAGTTACTGTAACTTAAAGCTCTCTCAGTAATCAGTTTGCCCCCCCCCCCCAATTCACCGACTACTCTTTCCCTCATCGAAGTAGTTGAGAGGGGGAAAAAAAAACCAATTGAAAACCAAATTAAAACAGGAAAAATACACACCAGAATTAGGAAATGAACGCTATGGTAAACAGCACTGCTTAAAAATTCCAACGCAGATGAAATAATTAAATCTAAATGAAAATAATGGAAAGCTATGAAATTTCAGCGTAACCATGCAATCCATGCAATCGAAAAGTTTAAAATGAAATCATAAGTATGTGAAATGGTCAAATTTAATTATCAACTGGTTTACCCACAAATCTGTCCTTGTTTTTTTTTTTTTTTTAATATATATCATTAAGAGCCATATGGCTAGTGCTGTCACCACGACAGTGAAGGTGAGGATTTTATTTTGGCCCTAAGTTAAAAAAAAAAAAAAAAAAAAAAAACTACTGCGGATTAGAACCCTGGTCTCCCTCTCAAGAGCCGAGTGTTCTAACCATTCGACCAAGCAACCACATGATCGGAGTAACAAAAAGAGAACATAACTATTTTAAATGTGTGTTTCTACTGCAGTGTAACACAACTCAAAACAGCAGGCAATTGTTTTCTCATAGACAGATATTCCAAATATATTAATGAAACGGCACAATAAAAGAAATCGCACGTGTCTAACACGGTTAATGTCGCAGTCAATGTCTGCGCAGACGTCGAGATAGTCCCTGATGCCCCCCCCCCTCTTTTTCCCTATCAATCCATCGGCTACTTTTCAACTCATCGAAGGATGTTTGAAAAAAAAAAAAAACCCAGAAAATAGAAATCGTGTCTAATATAGTTATTGTGGCAATCACTGCCTGCACAGATATAGATATAGTCTTGTTTTCTGTACCACGACCTACTCTATGTATCAGAGGAGGCGTGGCTGCACGGCGCATGCGCAATTACTAACGTGGTTATAATTAGAAATCACTAAAATTATAAATATTAGTTTCGAATATTATGGGCTTAAATTGTGGTCACCTATCTCTAACAGTGACAGTTTGAATTTTAAACCATGATAGGTTCAACATCCGGTATCAAAACAAATATCTCCTGAAAATTTCAGCTAAATCGGTTCAGTAGTTTTCCGAGTCTATAGGGGGCAAACAAACCACACAAACATTGATTTTTATATGTATAGATTATGGTGAAAAAGATGGAGAAAATAATCTCTTGGCGCAGTTCTATGCATCGACTGTGGTAAATTATACAGTCTTGTTTTTAATGGATTGCTGATATTTATATTTCACGGGAAATGATATTAGTGTATGGTGTGTGCACGTGCGCTAGTGTACCAGCGCGTTTGTCTGTATGTGCACTTTGCCCCTAGAATGTAAATGTCTTTAGGAACCGCGCTTTAAAAGCCAAATTACTTTTTGGTCGGTTTCTATTTGTTTGTTGGTAACATGCTGTTTTGATTTTGTCTGACTAAAGAATTAATTATAGCAGTAGCATGCCTTCTGAAAATTATATATTGTGTTTCTGTAAGCTTTTCGTTGGTTTGTTTTGCTGATTGCACTTTTACCTGATAGACTCACTGCCACAGACGAGCATGTCGCAAAAGGCGCACAATTAGAGGCTGTTGAAAAACTCAGTGTGTTTGTCCTTTTCTTCTAAAAGCGCAATATTGCGGCCTAGCTGTAAACCACAAAACGACGTTGATATCGCCATTTTTAAGTGCGAAAGTGGCAGCGGATGAAGAAATAACAGCTAGCTAACTTGAAAAGAAAAAAAAAAAAAAAACCTAAAGAAATAATACTTTAGATTACATGGTTTCATCACGTAATCGGGTCTTGACAATCACATCGTGATTATAACTAACTCAGAAAGCATGCTGGAGGAAGATCAGGACAGGCACGCTTTATGTAGACTGGGCATGCTTCACTGTGGAAAACACGGGTTAAGGGGTATTGTCTGGATTTTTTCACCGGGATACACTGGTGTGATGGGAAATGAACAGGCGGGGACCAGACTGGCTGGCTCTGCACAGCTTGGTGGAATACTGATGCACGATAGGGCAGAGCGATTACGTGGTTTGTGCCTTGTGGGAGAGCGTGTACAAGTTTGGAGGAGCAGCAGATGGATCACCAGTCTGGTGAGATTGATGCATGGGGGACGTGACAAGAAGTTATGGCAGATGCTCGAGGCTCAGAGGAAAGGGCAAGACGGACGTTTAATCATAATGCTTCTGGCACCATTAATATCGGAACTCTTCGCTGGCTGCTGAAGATGGGGACGGAGCGCTTATTGGAAATCCCCGAGTGCTGTGATGTCGGTTCTTGAATCAAAATCAGCAATATCGCACGGCACGTGATAAGTGTGATGCTGACCACATCACCCCCCACCCCAAGTGCCGATTGGTCTATAAATACAGATCTAGCCCTATATGCCTAAATGCAAGAAAAACGGTCATTTTCTTTACGGTTGGGATGCTACATCCAAAGCTAAACAAAGAGCCAGGAAATCCTTCGAAAACAAAAGCGACTGGCTCTGTATGCAGCCAGCAGACGTCGCTAGGATTGGCGCTTGTTTCAAAGACAGGAGGAAATCAACAAGTGGACCTACAGGCGGTGTTTTAACATTTCTTGTTTTGTGTGCGTTATTTATCGTTCAAAGTGTTAATAATGGCATCAAATTTAAAGAAAGCAGGCTCTTTACTGAGGAATTCTTTTCGGTCCAAAAGATACGCTATGTTTGATGCTCAAGAGAATAACTACATCTTGTCGCCGAAGAAACCGGAACCTGAGATGAAGATGAAAGTAAACAACGGCGGCAGATCCAAGGTTCGGAATGTTGTTGTTGTTTCTTCCAGGTCGGGTTCTGCTTCTAGTGATGGGAATGATATTTTAGCTGTTGATGGGCCGGCTTCTACAAAATCAAAATTGAGGAGGACAGCAAGTAT